CCCCAAAACCCCAAAACCCCAAAACCCCAAAACCCCTTTCACTGCAAATTCAATTGGAAATTCTCTAATTAAACATTATTATTTTTTCAATATGAATTTAAAAAGAAGGAGAAGAGGAAAAGTAAGCATTATTATCCATTGTAATAAATTCTTCAGCATTTTGTAAACAACATACTATCACTCTGTACAATATTCTTTCTACAGAATTCTTCAATAATAGAGTTAATCTCCAAAAATTTCAATCGAATGAAAGAAAAAGCTACTAATTTTATAGAGAAATAACCTAAATATTCAAGATCATAGACAGTCAACACAGGAGCAAGGAAATAATGGGTCTGTCTATCTGACAAGCACTAGAAATCTAAGAGTAATCCAGACTTTTCTTGCGGCATAAACTTTTTATGAGAAATATTAAAAGAAGTTCAATGGGATATTGACCTTTCAAAATTCATGGCAAACAATTTGGTCAAGAATTAGCTCAAAAGCTTAATATTTGAGTTCCCAGTAATTGACAAGTCTTTTAAGAACATGAAGAAGATTCTTAGCATTTCATCAAATGGCTTTAAATTATTCAGAAATAATATTACACAATCTGGTGAGCTTGATGTGTAAAATCCTTAAAAATTTATAAAAATATCTACCATCAGTTGTAAAATTCGAATTCATTGCATCATATCATCACGAGTAGCGTTTAAATCTATTGATTCAAAAGTTGACAAACCTGAATAAATTTCTAAGTTTGGTAAATTATTATATAGACGTGTAAAAAGTTAAATCGCACACGATTTTTTAGAAGAAATTCTAAATTCTCCACCATAGCCAAGACAGACAAAGTGACTCATAAGTTCTTAAAACAATCTACTTTAAGAGAGGATGTTGGAAAAGCCCTGATTAATTGAGGGAGTTCGAGGAAGAAGAAGAGCAGGAACTTTAATTGAAGCGTTGACAATGAGAAGGCTCATTTTTCTAGTCTTTATAATGCTAAGAACATGCTTCCTTCTATTTATAGAAGTATTGGTAAGGGGTTCATAATAATTCTGACTGTAGATGCAGACACCACTAGAAATAGCATCACTGTGCATAAGCATACTAATAGAGATCTTTATAATGTTCGGAATGATCATTTTAACACATGTAAGCAGACTAAACTATGATTTTGACAAATTTTATTTACAAAACTATATAGATTCTCTCAAAAAAAAGCATATTAAATAACCTCAAAAGGTGTATCTAGCATCTAATTTATAGATTCATTAGCGAGCACACACGGTGGAAGAATAAAATTAATGAAATCAGCAGCAAGAAGAAAATATTTAAAATTGTTAAGAGAAAATTATCTGTTGCAAGCAACTCTTCAGATGAGAGACGTAACTTTACAGTAAGGATGGCGAAGACTGGAGTTCTAAAGAAATCTAATCTACTCGATAAGATCAAATTAAATACCTCAGTCAGATTCCGGGATAAGGACCAGTAAGTCCTCTCTTCTTTCTCTATTTTGAGCATATTCACAAAGTGTATCTTGTTCAATTTATACGAATGATTCTTTGAATTTTTTAACAGTTTAATTAACAGATGGTTTACATGAATTTTAGGTGTAAATTTAACAAAATAGCATACTGAAAAGACTTAACGAATTTATTCCTAAAATAAGTCAGTCAGAACCAAATTTATTGATGCCGCTACTTCAATTCAAAGGTCTTGGAGAGGCAGGAAGACTAGAATATTTTTCCAAGCAAGGCATAAAATGCAGGAAAAGGCAGCAATGGTTATCCAAAATTGATGGAAAAAGTATTGGTCGTATAAACTCCAAATAAAATAAATGGGAGGGAAAGTTAAACTTAAAGTAAATTCCTTGTCTAATTTCTAGTGATAAAACTGCTTTAAATAGCTTAAACTGACAGACTTTTAGTCAAGTGCATATTTTATCACACTTTAAACAGCTGATTAAGAGGATGAAGCAGAAGAAAGCTAACTCTTTGATCTTGGTTCAGAAGTATATGCGAGGCTATGTTCAGTTCAAGAAATATGAGAAGTTTTTAGCAAAAGGAAAACTCAGTAATCCTAGTTTTCATCTTTAGAAAGTATTTCTAAAAATCTAAGTTGGATGAAAAAATATGAAATAAGGAAGAATAAAAAGTTCAGAGTTGACAGATTGAGTGAAACTTTTGTAGCGAAAAATGTTGTCCAGTGACCACACCGCAACCAGACTTCTTTAAGAGAATTCAAGAACAAATCTTACAAGAAATGATACTATCAGCTCAACCCTAGAAATAGTGTCAATCTAATGCCATTTGATGATGATTTAACATCCATAGAAGTACCTCCAGAGCCTCATATAAGCAGTGAGAAGTTGGATATCTCATTTATTTCTGACTCCGATTCGGATGATCAACCAGTTAGAGGAAGTCTATCTAAATTTAGCTCTGTTCCTCATGGACATACCTTTATGAGTTCTCATTGTAAGTACCTGCCATCTTACCGGACTACAAATTATTACAATGCTCTCTTTCAACACACTATCCTTTAAAACGTACAAAAGTGTGTTCTCAAGAGCCGATCTCAGCCTAAAACTTCCATGTCATTCTCTTCTAATACAACTTTAGTCAGTGAAATTCTTTTTTAGAATCTATAAAATAGACAATGGAATTATTAAAAAGAGAGACTAGGCTGAAGAGAATTTAAATTTAGAAGAAAATATTAGAGATTTAGCAAAGAGGTTTTGGAATTAGCTGTTTTAGGGGATAATTTTGAAGTATTTATCATAATTGCTTTGTAGGAACCAATTTCCAAGAAATCCGAAACAAGCAGAATTCGGCTAGGAGAAGGACTAAGTATGTTGAAAGAGTGCAATTGACTGGGGGTCCAAAGAATCAATTTAGCCATTTGCTTGGCTCCTCTATGGTAATAGAAGAGATTAGGACTTCCTCTAGGAATGACTAATTATCCTATAATTCTCCATGAATCTAAAAATTTAAATTTTATTGAATTAACGGGGTTTTGGGGTTTTGGGGTTTTGGGGTTTTGGGG